ACCTAGGAAGTTCAAACTAGGCACAAGCACAGGCGGCAGGATGGGAACATTTATGATGGGTGGCAGGTCCGGACTCCGCCACAAGATGAGGGATTCGTGTGAAAAACTTAAACTTGGATCTAGAGCGTTCAAATTTGGTAGGAGTACAGGCGGCAGGATGGGAACGCTTAAAGTGTATGGCAAGATCGGACTCCGCCCACAGTGGGCGGGGTTTGGGCGAAAACTCATAACTCCTGACCCCGTGGACCTAGAGCGTTAAAATGTGGATATAGCGGTATGGAAACACTCAAGGTGAAAGGCAGGACTGGACTCTGCCCACAATGGGTGTGGTTTGAGCGGAAAATCATAACTCCTTTAGATGGCGGGGCTTGCAAAGAAATGTCAAAATGGACCTAGAGCGACCAAACTTCGTAGGAATACAGGAGGCAGGACAGGAACACTGAGGATAGGTTGCGAGACCAAACTCTGCGCCAAAGGGCTAGGCGTGAATAAATACTGTTGGTTCAGGCGCAGACCGTTGAAACTTGATGGCACAAGGAGTTGGCTGGGAACATTGATGGTAGCTAACATAGTAGACTAGGGCGCGATGAAGTCTCTGAATACTTTTTTCTCTGAGTAATCGTTTTGTGATATTATGTAATGTTCTATTCGGACACAGCGAAAATGGCTTATAGAAAAAAAGCTCCTAATTCGGAGCTAATACTGAGGGTGTGGAGCTTTCAAAGAAAAAGGAGAATCCGAAGTTTTATTTACGCATAGCAAACTTCTCACGTGAAGAAGGGGGGAAGCCCGGTTTTAGCCGGGCGGCCCGACTGGTAAACATAAAAACGAAAAAGAAACAGAGAAAATGACCAAATCTAATAGAAAGAAAGGCAATCAACGGAAAATGTTGCGTCCTATCGATTGGCGGGGAGGCGGGGTGAGTACGGTAATTGAAGTGACATTTGCCGCATGCCGCAAGAGAGAATGCCGCGATCGGGGAGAAGTTCCGTTTCCCCAAGAAACGGCTATACACTTGCTGCAGCGCAGTTCGGCGTGAATGGTTGGTCGCAATGCAGAAAGGGTTACCCCATGTATTGTCGCCTATCGCGCTCGCTCCTTCAAAGACAAGAGCGAGCATTCAGAATGGGCACATGGACGGTTTGAAAAAATAGTTGGGCTGTGTTCGTGGCTCAAGCGCATGTTTGCAGCTCAACAGAGACGGATAAGAAGTCAGGTACAATTTTTTTCACGGCCGTATGTGCGACGGCATCAGGATGTGTGTATTGTAATTGAGGTATGTCGTGGAATCAAACATGGCGTCCGTTACATAGCGCTTCACTTCAGTGTCACTGTAATATCCCTGACATCCCGAACTTTATTAATTATCCTCTCGCGTACTCACGTCTTCTACTTAATACGTGCAGCATGGTGATCGTTTTTGGGAACGACTTTGATTATCTCCACTTCTGACTCCTAAATAAAGCAACAGGTTGGAAAGTTGTATTTTCTGGCTTTTATGTCGTACTTTTGAACCGCTACATAGTCTGCTACATTCGTCAAAGTATTGTGAATGCACAGCATTCGGAATTTAAGAGGAAAAAAGAGTGAGCAGGAGTTATATCCATACTTTGTGGCTGCCTCCAGCATTTTGACACGTTTATTACATCGCTTGAGATTGGCACTCATTCATAGTAGTTTAGGGAAATGATTGATAGATGAAGTCCCCGAGAGCACTGAAAGC